AAGACCTAAAGCATTCCTTCTTCTGTTTAATTGCCTCATACCCTTTCCACCACCATGTTTCCTTTGTATGAAAACCATTTCCTTTTCTTTATCCACACACCCTCCTTCCCATATTTTGAATAGACATAGCCACCTAATTTCATAATTCATTTGCTCCTCCATCAAATTCCCATGGTCCTTCATGCAATATTCTTTCCTTGAACTCTCTCTATTTTTCCTCCTTTAGCTTCCACTATCTTACCCTTAGGTTCTGAGCCCTCTTCCTCATTTTAAGTACTTTGTTCAGTCAAACCTCTATACTACCAGCTTGTGTTGCATAGCGACACACTCTCCAGGATAGATTTTACAGTCGACACAAGAGATTCTATCTTCTCTTCTAGCCATAAAGAAATCATTTTGACTATGATTTTGGCTACTATGATAAGTGATTAGATGTGACTCTTTTTTTCGAAAAAAGATGTTCGCTAGCATCAAATCATCGGCTAGTACAACGTTCAAGATATCTTCTCTAGTCTCATTTCTCGTTCTATAACCAAAACCTCCATGAATTCTACCAAAACCTCCATTGTTTTTACCAACATTATCATTTAAATCTCCTCCTAAGAAAATATTTTCCTCTCGTGGTATCCCCCTCAAAACCTCCTCCAAGTCTTCCCAAAATTAGCTCTTATCATTGGGATGCAATCCAACTTGGGGTGCATACACACTAAGGATATTCAAGATTAAATCACCCACTATAAGCTTAACCAGAATAATCTTGTCATCTTTCCTTTTGACGTCAATAACTTTATCTCTGAAACTTCTACCAATCATAATTCTAACACCATTTCGACTTTTGTTTATACCTGTAACGCCCAGTTGTACAATCAGTTCATTAACATTACATATGACATTAAGCGAAGTTACAATCACATTGGTTCAATTAAAAACACAGATGCACTTTTTCTTTTAAACATTGTTCATTCCCTTTTAAAACAATACTATATTTAAAATAACCAAAGTCGTAATTGTAACCAAGTAATGTTGCGGAATAACTAAAACATACTTAGACATATCATACTAGTCCTAAGGGATACCACTATAAGGTTCCCAAAGGTCTCAAACTCTAAATTCTCATATATTTATTTTGGAAACTGTGCTCCTTGTTGACCTACTCGCTCTAGCGGGCAGCTTAGCAAGCGTTTCACATGTGCTCACTGACCTGCTCGCTTGAGCGAGCATGTCAGCAAACTCTTCATTGCTTTTCCTCACTGTCCAGCTCGCTCCAGCGAGAAGTGCAGCGAGCAATTGTGCACTCAGTTACTGTAGAGTCAGTAGCTCACCTCCAACTCCCTTACCTCTCGCTTTCTAGCTCATTCAAGCGAGGTCAAGAGCGAGCAATGCTCTGCTTTTCTGAACCCCTCTCGCTGGTCAGCTCGCTCAAACGAGCATGCCAGTGAGGGTTCCCCTGCTTCAAGGTTGGCCACTGTCAGCCAAATAATCAGCTCACTAGGCCCCTCGCCCTAGTGAGGTCTCCAACGAGCAACCCAAAATTCTCATAGGGTCCATTTATTTCTTGAACAAACCAAGGGAGCACTTCAACTCACTTTGATACCTAGGTCATAATCATTGCAAGCCAATCATCCTACATTGCCCAAAATGCAAGAATACAAGCCTAGGTCATATGAGACTTTTCTCAAAATTATAGAGGTGACTCAAATGGTTTTCTAAAAACATTTTCACCGTTTAAATATAACCCTTAGCATATTTCCCAACATATACTAAGCCTTAATCATTCTTAAACATAGCCACTCTACCCACATCATTATAAAACCCTAAAATTTCTAACTTCATGAAAACATGAAAAAAGAAAGGTTTCTTACCAAGAATCTCACCACAATGGCCTTTTGGATGGTTATCAACCAACAAAGAACCAATGCACCACTTCAAGCTCCTCAAACCTCTAGATTTTTGCCGCTTTCTTCAAGGGTTTTCTCCACACACAAGCTTCTACAATGGATTCTAAGATTAGGGTTGTGTTCTCCTTGAGATTCTAAGCAATGTTGCTTCTAACCATGTTTGATTCCATTGAGTATTCAAGAAACTAGGTTTTTTGAGGTATTGAGTGCTCATTAATGGGGTTTTATCGGGTTGCAGGGAGAGAGTGAGAGTTTGGTGAGATGTAGTTGAGTCACTTAAATGACATTCAAAATCCCGTGTGGCTCGCTCACCATGTCGCTCAAGCGAGCATCCATGAGCGAGCAATTAACACGCTAGCTGGGCAGCTCGCTCAAGCGAGCTCCCCTAACAAGAGTGGCCAGGCAAGGCCTTTACAACACAGAGGCCTATTTCCTCACTCAGGCCCACTAACACTCACTTAAGCCCATTTGCTATCTTAATTGGTATCTTCCTACATGAATACACACAACTCCACTTTATTGAATTAAGTCTTCCCACTTATTTTATCTACAATGTGCTTGATAAATATTTAATCTAACCTTTATAGTAAGCCTCTCACTTAATTAATCTGATTAATCATGATTAGATCTTAAATCACAAATACCACTTCATATTAATTGAACTAAGTATTTTCACTTATTTTATCTACACTGTGCTTGATTAATATTTAATCCAATCCTTTATATTAAGCCTCTCACTTAATTAATCTGAATTATATAAGATTAAATAGTTAATACCATACCGTTAGACATATTACAAATCAGGGTTATTATAATACCTGTATATCACAACTTGAAACCGGTACCATTCACTTCCTTGGCCTTTTCTCCAACCCACTTAGTTTCTTGCAAGCAAACGAGTGGATGGTAATGAAAGTCTAACAAGGTTTTAGTGATAAACAAGTATTTAAATCCAATTCATTTTAGGGATTTATATTTCATCCTTTAATGCGGAAATACCCTCTTTGCCACATAGTGTACATATCTATCTCTTTCTCTCTTATTCTCTTTCTCTATCATTCTATCTCTCATTGTCTTATTTTCTCTCCTTATGAAATCTTCTCTAGGTGGTAGAGAGAATATTTCTGCCTTAAAAGCAGAAATATAAATCCCTTCATTTTATAGTATAAATAGGTTTTAAATTAAAGTCTAACCAAAATTAATTTTGGCCTTGAAAGTAGGGAGATTTTTATTTTCCATTTTCTTTTTAACCCCTAAAAAATAAAAGAAAATAAGTAGATCCTAATTTTAGTTTTTTTTCCGGCTATCCCAAAACTACGTCGCTTTTTTATTCATTTCCTTATATGAATTGATTCACCTTTGAATGGTTATGATTTCATTTTTCTCTCTCTTTCTTTATCACCATCGATCCTTCTTTGTACGGTTATGATTTAGTGGTCGCAGATAAAGTTAACTCAAGCGACTTGAGAAACGATAAGTCCATATATATATATATATATATATATATATATATATATATATATATATATACACACACACACACACACACACACCAAATTCTAACAGTTAATTTTCGTCAATCTACGATTATCATTTAGTGATAATCAAATTTATTAATTAATTATTAATTCCCAATAAATAATAATCGTTGATTGGCAGAAATCAACGGTTATGATTTGATTTTAAATTTCAAAGTTAGATATCGGTGTCAAAGGATCCTGCCTCTATATATATATATATATATATATATATATATATATATATATATATATATATATATGGGTTCACTTTTTCTGCACTTACTGCAAATAAGTTATCTGCAGTAAGCCCAATACGACGTCGTTTTGGGATAGAAATCATGGTGTTTTTGTAATTTTAATTTATTTCAGGGTTATAATAGTTTTTATATATATATTTTTTAAGATTTCAATACCAAAACGACGTCATTTTGGGAATAAATACAGATAACTTATCTACAGTAACTGCAGAAATATTTTTCCATATATATATGGGAAAGGATCCATTTACAAATTTTTTTGAATTTTTTTACAAATTACACTATGTTCTCCCGGGAGACCATAGTGAAACTAGTGTTTTACCGGGAGAACATTGTGTCGTTTGTAAAAATTTATAAACAAAAAGTTTGTAAATATAACCTGCCCCTATATATATATATATATATATACATTTGATCTTACTAAAACTTTATATATGTACTTTAATTTATTTTTTTTCCAAGGTATTCTTCAGCCAACAACCAAATATTAATCCTTTCAAAACGGAAGATCACATTAAGTGAGTGAGTAAATCTCTCCCAACAAAATCTTTTCCATACACCTAGGTAATGTTATAAAAATAAAATCAAACTTGCTAGTTATATTTTTAATTTAAGTATCAGTCAGTTTAATTACAATTTAATCATAATTTGACAAAAGAAATTTTTCACAAATATTTTTAACTCCTTAAAATAATAAAAAAAAAAATTTCTTATTTTTTTCACAAATGAATTCATTTTATAACAGGTTTTAAATTAAAGTCTAACCAAAATTAATTTTGACCTTCAAGGTCGGGAGATTTTTTTTTTCTTTTTAACCTCCTAAAATAGAAAATTTATTGTATGGTCCGTCTCTCTCTCTCCTCTCTCTTCTTCTTTCTCTCTACGAGCTCATGTGAACCGGATTCACTGAATATTCGCTCCTAAAAATAAAATAAAATAAGTAGATCCCAATTTTAGTTTTTTTTTTCTCTTTCTGATGTGTAAAGAATGGTAGATCCAAGGAGGGGAATATATATATATATATATATATATATATATATATATATATATAAAAGCTACAAGAAGACATTACAATAATGGAATTCACAACATTTAAGACGTAAAAGAAACAAAATTTTGGCACATATAAAATAGAGGTAAATCCTACCTTTATTTTTTTTCTCTCTTCTTATCTATAGATCCCACTTATAATTTATTTTTAGTACATGAAATAACTCAAAATGATTTCCCTAAGTTTATTGCTCACACAGTCACAGCATCGTTAGTATTTTTCCTTTAAACCTCGACCTGTAATTTAAAACTCGGTTGCTATGGCCTTCCTGAGATTATGCTGAGAAAAGCCCCAAAAGAAAAGGGATGATTATTAAAAGGCTCAGAGATAGAGACATGAGAATTATTGTCACCTGAAACTAAACTGGGGAAGCATTTCATCACACCATCTGTTATGAACTGTTCCCGTATGGTGCCTACAACTTGCAATTAAAAGATTTTAATCTAAAGACACTGCCTTCTTGTTTCCCCATCACCAAATGACACTATTGCATACAAAGTTGTGTATGTATATAAACATCTATAAGACTTCTTGCAAGAAATAATGTCATACGAAACACCACAATACAAGTTTGACATTATTCTCGCTTATCTTCCTCAACATCTTCTCCGAAAGCAAGATCTGTCGCACTAGAACTTTTCCTTTCCTTACGATCCAGCTTGGCTGCCACATCTGCATTAATCTTCGCTACGCTGCTTGTCAGAGAGATACCCTCCTCATCAAAGTCATCTCCTGTTTCCTCTAAGTATGCATATCTACAGATAAAGATATAAATGCAATCAGTATTTCCAGGCACACACCAGCACACAAATATTGTTATATAAAAAACTATTCAATCCCAGTAATTACGAACGGAAGAAGGAAAATGAAATGATGGACAAAGGATACAAAGAAGTTCCTAATTCTGATATACAGAGACACGATGGAACATTGCTGCAGTTTTGAATTTTTTCATAAATTCATGACCCTTGCTGTTTTCTAGAATTTCATATTAAGGATATCTTTCATCCCCCTAGTTGTATTTTTCCTCCATTCTCTTTAACAAAAATTCATTTTTTTTCAAACGAAAAAGTAGCAAGAAGGAAAGATAAGCAGGTTAAAACTAAATCAATATACTGGATAGAGTTAAGTCCCTCCAAAGAAGCCAACACTATATTGCAAATCAAGTAGCAAACGAAGTAATGCTATTAACTTTAAAACATATTTAAATATCAACGGTACTTATGCCCAGACCTACGGTGAAGACTGAGAAGTTTTGGAAAAGGTAATTGTTTCCAATTGGACTCAAAAGTGGTATGAAAGGTACAGCTAACTAGAAATAAGACATTCAGACAAAAGGCAGTCTGTATAACTCCCAGCTTTCCTAGTAACCTATTTATCACTCAGGGAGTATACTGAATAAAGATTTTTTTTTTTATATTAAATAAAATTGTTGATTTTTTTAATGAGTAAAGATTCACAATTACTAACATAGATCTTGTTATTTAAGTTAATTAGGAAATGACAAAAGGAGCTATTGTACCAAACTCATTAAGAGTATAATGTTAACTTGCACATGAATGAGAGCAGGTTAGCATTCCCCTGTACACACACTCACACAAAAAGCGACTACAAGACTAGGATTATGTAGACCCACATTATACATTAACATATTTACAAACACTATTCAAGTAGTGTTTTTAAAACTTATACTGAATATGAAACTAATACAGTAACAAAAATTATAAATGGTCAATGCATAACTTGGATTCATAGTTTCTGAAAGTATATCATGTAGAACAAAATTTACACCTAGTAATGTTGCAAATATATCCATTAAATGCATAATGGTAGTAATTTTCTATTGAACTAAATATTATCAGTTATCTCTTTCACAGAGAGAGTTTAGACAACTCAAGTGATACCTAAATTCTCTCACACCTTGAAGCATCCTTACAATACAATAAGAGATAACGTTGCCATAAACTTACAAACGGTCGTTTGAACACTTGTATGAGTATTACTGTTCCATTACATCATCACTATGAGCGTTATCTTTCTTCCCACGGTAGATTAAAGACTTACTACGTTTTCTTTTTTAGTCTGGTGCTAAGTTTAAAAAAGGGCCATAAAGTGGCACAACTGATTTCTCATAACAATAATTTGGATTGATGGTCTTAGTTTCATTTTCTACATTAGTGTGCACACAAATGCAGAGAGAGAGAACTGAAAGATACAATGAAGGTTAAATGAAATCTTGCATTTTAGTCTTCAAGTTAGAGAAACTTGCACTAGTACAGATAAGAGTTTACGATGCAAACAAGATCAAACACAAATACACAAATCCCCTGTGCACAAGGCTCCCCAACTTACGAGGGTAGGAATAATGGTCGATTATATGCAATCTTACCTTTGCAATTGTGCAAAAAGACTATTTCCCAAACTCAAACCTGTGACCGACCTTCCGGTCACAAGGAGTAACCTTCCCACTACTTCAAGGCTCACCCGTCAAACAAGATCAAGATCAAACACCCACCAATAAATTTTGCTACTACAACAACTAGTTCTAAGCGCATAAATAAGTGGACCGGCATTCCAAAAAAAAGGTTAAATATATCAGCATAAAACCACCAAGTAACTGTCTTAAAATCACCAAGACCATGGAAAGCACGTACCTAGTAGGGTTACGAGAAGGAGCCCAAAGGACACATATCACCAACAAGAGAGCATATGAAAGCAGAGACCAGAAAGCTGGAATAATCCAAGCAATTTGCCACAACTCGCTCAATGGATCAGTGGCATTGAAGTACAGCTGTTCAACACAGTAAGAAATGCTAGTTAGCAAAATATAGACTCACAGTCACATAAAAATGCATAAATGAAAATGTTTGGATACTCCTATTGAGAGAGTACATCTCATTGTATCTCTAAAACTGTTTATTTCTATTCATCAAAAGATTTTTCCAGAAACTACCTCAAAGCCAATCCATGCAATGGACAGTAGCACAGACACTGCAAGTGTATTTGTAAATTTTCGGTAGAGCTCCAGTTTAGCCAAGTTTCTCCTTACCTGCATCCAAAAATGAACAGAAATGGAAGATAAGCACAAATGTTATACCTAAACTGCATATCTTTAATATGGTCCAAAAAAATAAATCCATATTTATAGAATCACAAACCTTAACTGACAACTAACCCCCTCCCAACCAAAAAACATAAAAATCTTGGAAGTAACACAACAAACACCCCCATGACAAGAAAAGAAAGATTAGAGTGCTATGAAGCATGAACACAAACACAGACAAGGACACCAAACACCACCACACGGACATGGAAACATGAAACCGGGACACGGCACTATACATAAACATTTGTGCACGCGCACACAAGTCAATGAAATTAAATATGAGCAACATGACAAAAATAATTTTAGCGTCAACTAAGGGTCCCAACCATGTCTGGCGTAACATGAATCAAATCCTTCAACTGTCTAGCCGTATGTAGGTGTTGGCTAAGTGTCCCAAACATGTCTGGTGTGTGTCCAAGCTGACTCAAAACATCTATTTAATAGGACACTTAGATGAGCGGCATCTGACATGTGTTGTGCCGAGTGTGTAATGGTGTTGATGTCCAAGATGTGTCTGACACTCCCTCAATAAGGAGCAGTGTTCGTGCTTCATAGTTAGAGTCAACAGTTATACATTTACATAGTTCAAAAGTCAAACTAAGATAGCATGGCATCCCAATAGGAACAATAACAAAAAAACAAGATATAGAGAGATAAAATTGCCTGTAGTTTCTCCAAGGTTTTGGACAAGGATGAGAAAATCCATAGAATAAAGCATGAGTCAAGGCAAACAACAGGAAGGACCAAAACCAACTTAGTCTTCCCAGAGAAGTCATTGATGTTACCCAAATGATCAACAAGCTCAAGAGCCTGCGAGGCAACAAAGTAGAGCACACCAAGAAGCGCAACTCTTGAGGTAATCTTACTACCGCCGAGAGTGGGCCGTACAACCCCAAATCCCATAGAAACAACCAACAGAAGAAGCCGTGAGAGCGTCTTCTTGACGGAAGTGAAGGTAACAGCCCAAAGGGTAATCCCCATAGGCCTTGTTCCAGTTGAATTGAAATTCGCATACTCAAAATACCACACAGCCATCTCACACATTCCAAGTGCAATAACAGCAGTAATGTGATAATGCAATTGGATAATGTCCTTCCAGAACTGAACAAACCTCAAAAACCACACAAGTCCAAGCAACAAATAAGCCAAAGACATAAACCCATATAAAGTCATAAGAGGAGCCATTTTCCCAGGAAGATAACCCTTTGGGTTCCTCCACACACTCCTTCCTTTAATTACGGTGCCGCTTAGAGAAGGATCGCAGAACATGAAGTAGAGGTAGTACATTCCGGTGGCATTAATCCCAACCGTTTGGGTCTCCATTTGAACTTGTTCGTTCGTTCCCTGAAAGAAAGTCTTGATCCGTTTTGGAAATTCAGGGTTATCGGGGTTGTTGTGGATGATAACTTCACCGAGGTTGCACTTTTCATCTCTGGAAAGCTCGGGTTCGCAGCAAATCAAATCGGATTTGAGATACGATCCTCCGATTCGTTCTCTGTCTTTGACTTCGAGTATTATGGCTTCTACCAAACCAGTGTTCTGCTGCATCACGCCGTGCTTGCTCGCTGATTCTTTTGGCCTTATGAAACTCACCGTTTCAAACCTGTTCGTTCGTTTCAATGAATGAATGAATCATGAATGAACCAACCAGCAATCAACTGAACTGAGAATAGAAACCCTAACCCTAAACCTTAAACCCTAGAAGTGATTTTGATTTACCTGATGAAGGAGTTGGGTTTGGGGGATGAAGAGGCATAGAGGCCTTCGCTGCCACCATGGAAGAAGAAAGCGTTGGAGCTGTGAGTGAAGTGTTCGTTTGAGTAGTCATGGATTGAACCATTCACTTGATCACTTATCACTATAAGAATCATAATCAGAAACAGAAAACCCATCATCAACAATGGTAGTAGCAAGCTACTCTGATTCTCAGTTCATTAGCTAGCTTAATATTAGACTCTCTCAGATTCTTTCACGGGGAGTTAATTAATTTTATATCAAGTATTGGAAATAATTGATGGCAAAGAATAATAAAAACGATTTTTATCGTTCTTTGTTCCATCCTTCACACATGAATAATCGAAATGATCTGTATTGTGTTTGTAAAATTGTTTAGAATGTTAGCTTATCTATTAAAAATCAAAATCCCAGCAATGAATGGTTGAATTTATTGAAAAATCACGGAATAAATATTATATTAAAGAGAAAATTAAATATCATGTTGTAAGAAAATCTTAATATCACGTCATAAATAAATCAAAGCTGGCAGGTTTATGTCTCTCATACTTATAGAGAAGCGAATGGTGTAGCTGATTGGTTAGCTACGCATGCTTTTTCTGCAAACTGGGATATTCAGTTTTTTAACACACCTCCTGTAGGTTGCAAAAATAGATTTCTTCAAGATTATAGGGGAGTAGCTTTCCCTAGCTTTGTTTTAGCCTAGTTTATTTTCTCTATGTATTACCAAAAAAAGAAAAAATCAAGTGTGAAACCCATCTATTTAAAAAAATAAATAAAAATGGCACACATTTCTATAATATGTGTAGAAGGATTTATTTTCTTATGAACATAAGAAAAACAAACCCTATATTAAAAGCAAAAAAAAATCAAATGACGACATATGCATAAATAAATCTTGATGAATTGTGAAGAAGGTAGTTTGCATAAACTTTAGGGAAAACTTCAAAAAAAAAATACCTATAAGTTTTCTAATAATCACGTACCATTTTCTAAAAATTTTAATCATTTATTTTCCCTACTTAAAGTTGTTTTATCATTTATCACTCTGACTTGATTTTTCATCAAAAATTACAGTTATTAGCGTTAATTTTTTTTATAAAATACCAAAACTAACCTTAAAAAAAAAAGCATTAGTTGATCTTGTTGAATGAAACCACCACAGAATGAAACCATTTGAGATTTGCTCACTTCATCCAACTTAGTTTTCAAATAAAGATTCATTACAATTTTCAAAGAGAGAGAGACAACCACTTTTGGTTTGGTGTACTTTCAATAACACATGTTCCTTTTGGATACACAACGATCAACAACACATAATTATCTTTCACAACATTATTACAAATTGCTGATCCATAACAACAATGAAAATAAAAAGGTTCGGTTCTAAACACATTGTATATATTGACATGTGCTTTTTTTTTTTTGTAAATATTATTGACATGTAATTTAGGACAGAGTTGAAAATCAATGTTCAAAATTACATTCAAATGAAAATGGGGACTTTGAGATGAATCTGAGCTTCACAGGATTATTCCATGCTCCTCTTTTTTTATCATCTTTTTCTTTCTTTCTATCAAGCTTAGTTAATAATGTTGGGTATCCATTACTCTTTAGACTCCAAACTTTTCTGTCTCTTTATGGACTTTGTTTTTATTTTATGGTAGCTTAGTTGTAAATAAGAATTGTTTTACTTTTTCATTTTGATGGAGGTAGCTCCTGCAAAAAGAGCTTTCAGATCTCCAATAAAAGACGGTGACAAAGTGAAGAAGATCAACTAATGCTTTTTTTTAAAGGCTAGTTTTGGTATTTTATAAAAAAAATTAACACTGTTAACTATAATTTTAGATGGAAAATCAAGTCAGGGGGGAAATGATAAAACAACTTTAAGTAAGGGGGTAAATGATTAAAAATTTGGGGAGGGGATAAGTGATTATGAGAAAACTTATAGGTTTTTTTTGAAGTTTTCCCTAAATTTTAAACAAAATACTAACAATATACATCCTAATCTATATTGTTGTACACGGTTATAAATAAGTCATTTCTCCAAAAGCGATTTTAAAAACACAAATAATAACAGGTTTTATTAATCTCCTGTTACTGCAGAGAAGTTATTTGCAACTGACACATGTCTTACAGGATACGTTTCGTATCCTGAAAAGCATGTGACTGATGCGCGGAATAGTGTCTTTCCTGCAGCTGAAGAGACATATTTCTGAATAATAATATATATATAATACTCATTTGATTAATGTTGGATCAATTTGAAAATAATAGTAGTTAATTTTTTTTTCAACTGTTGATTTCAAATTCATCCAACAGTAACCAAATAGGTAATAAGAGTAGTAAATGATAATAAATATACACGTCTCCATAAAACATAGTTTGCATAAAGTATTCAACTTTATTTTCTTTAAAATTATTTTACTAATAATGCAATATTTTTCAAATATTTCATCGTAAGATTGTAAACAATTGTCTAACCTGTAATATGTTTCCATACCATTTTTCAATAGAGCTTTATTAATATCATGCAATAGGAGAGTGTAGATACAATGTATGTTTTGATGATTACAAAGTAAAAAGAGAAGAGTATTAATCAAGAGCAAAAAGCATCAACCATATGTGGATATTGAAGATGTATGATGTAGCTACACAAGAAGAGTAATGACATATCAAAGTAACAAGATCATTGGATCAAGAGCAACAAGAAATAATTAGAAGAGAAACACCAAGATCAAAGACAACAAACCATAGACAACATCTAAGAGAAGCTCAATATCAACCATGGTGAAAAATGATCAAAATCAACAAAGTGTCAAGCATTGTCATATCCAATAAGTCAAAGCATCAAGCTTAAGTAAAGATCCAAGACACAAGACATAAAGCTAAGTCTAAAATCATACTTAGAATATATCTTTAGGACTTAGAATATATGTGAGGGTATATGGTAGATTGCATTGCATGAGCTCAAAGTTTTTCTCAAAGTAAACGTGTTTTTCGAATTTCATAATCATAACCTTTATATACTTGAAAGAAATTTGAAAAACCCATGAAAAATATCCTTGACATGTTTTATAACTACAAAACATATTTATCAAGTCAAGATCTTTCATAAAAAATTGGTTGGAAGCAAGTTAGAACACATTATTTGAACTTAGAATTTACTGAATAATTTTGCTGCTGCCTTCCATACAATTTTTCATATTCAAGATGATGGATTTCGATCTTGTGTTCTTCATAAAAGTTGTATATCTTTCTTTTATCTTTCCAACGGGACCAAGATCACATCAATCCGACAAGAATAGCTCAATTTTTATTCCCAAAATACGAAACAATGTTATTGTTGTCGTATTTCCAATCTTTCCAACAGGTTGGGAATCGATTCCTTATGAGCAGGAATCAATTCCCACTCTCTGGAAAAGTTAGGAATCGATTCCCTTATTGCGAATCGATTCCCCCTGCGACAGAAAGCCTATAACGGCTATAAACGGCTAGTTTTGCTAAAATCACTATAAATACATTCCTTATGACCCTAAAACGAAATTATCACTATTCCTACACATCTTAAGGATGATTTAAGAGCTTCTACACTATCATTTGTATATTCTTTCATATCTTTTAAAGGTAAGCTTGGATAATGAGCTTGCAAGGTAAGCTTTCGTGTCCTCGGTTTAGCCATTGTTTGTTCCACATGTCCCATGAGGGGATGGTTTATATGCATGATGTGTTTTCATGTACTGTTTTATTGAAATGCTATTGAGCTGTTAAGTGTAAAATGCTTATGATATGTATGTGGTGTTTCGCCTAGACAGGATGCCATGGGGTTGTCCTGTGAGTGGGTACAACATAGGCGTGTACTGTGTGGGTAATAGACGTATTCTTGTACTTCTCTGATCAGTAGAATAGTTATATCACACATGACATGATTATCTGCTGCATTGCACTGTTTTGGAACTGATATTGAATTACTGCTTTTAGAACTTATATTGCACATGTAAGTGAGCTTGGGGAGGAAGATCCTTGAGGACCCCTTGTCTTACTGAGATTTCTGTTTAGAGATCTCACCCCACGTTTGGGGCGCTTATTTCAGGTTCAGGTAACTTGGGGGCTGACGCCTCTGGCAGCAGGAGGCCGGAGCTTAGTTGATTTATATATGTTGTATGCTGACATGACTGGACATTGGATGTTGTTTATGTTTTCTGTCATTATATGATTATTGAGCTGAGACTCTTTGTCGGCTTTGTTGCCTTATTTGGTGAGCATGGGGTTTGTCCATGACACATTGATGATTAGTATATTATTGTTGAGTTGTGTAAACTATCAGGGTTTGTCCGGTCTACGTGTTGTAGTTCCGTGACTAGAGACACATTTATGTCATATATATTTATGAGGTATTTCAGTTAGCTGTCTATTTGCATTTTACATACAGGCAATGTTTTGAAATGAATTAAGTAATTCAACTTGGTAATGATAATGACATCATAATTGAAAGTAAAAAGTTATTCCGTATTTTTAAATTAAGCGTGGCTTAATACGATGGCATGTTAACCAACCGGGTATACACGGGGTGTTACATTTTATGGTATTAGAGCACTTTCTAGGGAAAAACCTGTATGTATTGCAATAACTTAGGATGTTTTGTTGTGAGTCGTGTCTGCGTGTTCTCTCTATTGGGTTTTGCTATGATAATGCATGTGTGACCACACTGCGTGAGCCTGATCAACTCATTCTTTGTGTAACTTGTGCAGCGTCAAGGTACAACCTCGGAGGAACCGAGACACTAGCGGGGATCAACCGGATCCTGTCCTGGCTGCATTGGCTGAGACGCAGGCAGCTCGACAAGCCGACCAGGAGGCCATGAGAATGGCAAACCAGGCTATGTTGGACGCCGTCAGAGAGGCGAACAGGAAAGCCACTGAGGATGTATTGGAGGCGAACCGCCTGGCGAACATGACTATGATGAGGGTCATGTTGGAGGAGATGAGGGCTGGTCCTGCTGTTGGTCAGTTCCCTCCGCCACCACCTCCACCGCCGCCACCACCTCCACCTAGTCTGCAGGACGAGAGCCAGAGCCAAGTTGAGGGCACTGGTCAACTCACTGGGGTGATGGAACCCTATGTGGAGCGTGTTGAGGATCGCGATGTGATTGACCGTCGGCTTAATGCTTTTCACAAGCATAAGCCACCTACCTTTGATGGGTCTTATGATCCTATTACTTCGGCGAGATGGCTACAGGCGTTGGACAAGATCTTCCGGTTCATGCAGTGTACTGATCTGCAGAAGCTGATGTTCACCACGTATATGCTGGAAGGCGATGCCCATGAGTGGTGGATGAACACCTCTCA